TGAAGGGTCAGCTTTCCTGCTCCTCTGATGCTGCCTGGCCTGCTGTGTTCCTCCAGCTCCACACCTTGTTATCTCAGACTCCAGAATCGGCAGTTCCTATTATTTATGATTAACAACAATCTGTCCTGGTCCACCCACATCAACACAACAGTCAAGAGTGCACAACAACATTTCTACTTCCTCCAGACGCTAAGGAAATTCCGCATGTCCACAACGATTCTTACCAATTTTTATAGATACACCATAGAACGCATCATATCTGGATGCATCACAGTGTGGTATGGCAACTTCTCTTCCTAAGACGACAAGAAACTACAGAGTCATGAACATAGCCCAGTCCAACCTGCAAACCTGCCTTCCATCTATTCTTCTCCTGCCTTGGGAAAGCAACTAACATAATCAAAGATCCCTCCCACCCTGGTTATATTCTCTTCCACCTTCTTCCGTCATGTAGAAGATGTAGAAGTTTGAACACATGTATGAACAGATTCAAGAATTGCTGTTATCAGACTTTTGAACGGGCCACTCAAATGTTTATTTCAATCTCTCCCTCTGCACCTTCTCTGCAGCTGTAACACTGTATTCTGCAATCTGTTCTGCTGCCCTGATGCACTTTGTATGGTATGATCTGCCTGTACAGCGCACAAAACAACATTTTTCACTGTATCATGGTACATAGAGTCACGTAGCATGGAAACAGACCCTTCAATCCAACCAGTCCACGTCGCACATAATCCCAAACTTAACTAGTCCCACCTGCCTGCTCCTGGCCCATATCCCTCCAAATCTTTTCTATTCATGTACTCATCCAAATGTCTTTTAAACATTGTAATTATACCCATATCCACTACTTCCTCAGGAAGTTCACTCCATACGCAAACCACCCTCAGTGTAAAACATTTGCTTCTTGTGTCTTTTTTAATGTCTCCCCTCTCACCTTAAAATTGTGCCCCCTAGTCTTCAAATCCCCCCTCCTCGGGAATAGACAACTACCATTAACCCTATCTATACCCCTCATTATTTTATAAACTGCCAATAAGGTCACCTCTCAACCTCCCACGCTCCAGTGAAAAAAGTTTCAGCCTATCCAGCTTTTCTTTATAACTCAAACCTTCCATATCCGGGAACACCCTGGTAAATCTCTTCTGAATCCACTCCAGTTTAATAATATCCTTCCAGAACTGGACACAGTATTCCAAAAGAAGACTCACCAATGTCCTGTACAACCGCAACATGATTTCCCAATTCCTATGCTCAAAGGACTAAGCAATAAAGTCAGCATGCTAAACACCTTTTCAACCACCTTGTCTCTATGTTGACCCCGCCTCTTAAAACTAAAACCAAAACACCCAAAGGGGAGCACCTCTCCCTATAACTATAAAAGGAGCGTGAAAATTGGTGTAACCTGCCTTTCAGCAACTTCTAGTGATTAAATAAAATAAATCCCTGGCATTCACTTTAAAATCAACAAGTAACAATTTATTTATCTAACTCCAACAGTGAACAAATTAGCTAAACTATTAACAGACCGACTAAATCACTTCTATCTACTAACTATTCTCAAATAAAGCAAGATTCTAATAGCATGCTGTTCCAATAAATACAAGTCACATTTATAAATAAAAAACAAATTTAGTCTATTGAAATTACAGCCATGTGACGTCTTCCAGAATGTTCTGTGCCTTCTCTGTTGATTCTTCTGTCAGGAATATTAACAAGTTGTGCTGTTGGTATTTAGATGGTCCTTTCTCTCAGACATACAGGAGGCTGTGAAAGCCAGTGATTCTCCCTTGAGAGTGGAGGGCTGCTAGCTCTGGAGGATGACAGTTAACTCTGGGGCTTTGTCCAACTGCCCTCTTCTTTTTATACTCTTGATGACATATCAATATTTCTTATTGGTCCTATATTGTCAAAACCATCAGATTTAAATTTAATAGGTGTTTGGTATCTAAGTGCCTGGTTCAAATCAATTGGATAAATTCAAAACTTGTTGTCTTGGTAAACTGTTGCTTGGCCTGCTAACTGTATGGCATTTTGATGCAAATGTTTCAATTCAGGTGTTTTCTCTTACTTGCAAACTTTCAAACTGCTGCTCACAGACATCCATTTTAAATCTCTAAGCATAAAAAGCACATGATCTTTTAAAGGGACCATGCAATGCTTTCCCCCCTAACATTTTACAAAGACCAAATTCTAACTTCCTGCCTCCCAATCCACAAGTACTCTACCCAACCTCGCAACAATGTGATGCAAACTTCAAAGAATTACGTACCTGAACCCCACTTGTGACAACAATAATTCAATCAATCAGAACAGACGATGACGTTTTGATGAGCTGGCAGCTATAAATGGGTAGGGCTTCAGTGCCTTGAATCCCTGATACCAGGGTAATGGCCTGCTGTTGGCTTGTTAAATGCCTGAGTGGCATGAGATGCAGTGGGCCCTCTTGAAAAGAGCCTGCCATGCTGGCTGAGTTAATTATGAAAGTTTCACCTTCTCAACCTTGTACCTACCTGAGGCGTGATAACCCTCCGGTGAAACTGCCACCAGTCATCTCTCTCTAATGAGAGAGCACCTCCATAGACCACAGCTGCAGTACTATGTGCACTTCTGGTCCTATAGAAAGAATAGGATTACAGTAGAGGGGGTGCAGAGGAGATTCACCAAGGTATTTCCTGGGATGGAATAGTTTAGCTAAGAAGAGAGGGTTTTATTTGCAGCAGAGAAGGTTGAGGATGTACAGAATAGAAACGTATTGGATTATGAGGGAGCGTGGACAGGGTGATTTGAAAGTAACTGTTCCCTAAGTCGAAGGGTCAATCACAAGAGGGAAAATTATAAAGTGAAAGGCACTTTCAGGAGGTCTAGAGGGGATTTGAGAAAAAGATATTTCACCCAGAGAGTGGCGGGGGTCTGAAACGCACTACCTAGGAGGACAGTTCAGGCAGGTAACCTCACAACTTTTAAAAAGTACTTGGATGAACACTTGAAATATTATAATATTCAAGGTTATTGACCTAATGCTAGAAGGTGGGACAAGTGTAGATCTAGTGTCACTCAAGCGTAGCTTTGGCAGTAGAGATGTGCCAAACAGCCTCTTCTGTAGTGTATGATTCTATGATTCTATGTTTCTATGAGCCTGTCACTTCCACAAGATGCCAACCATGATATCTATTCTGTATCATGCATAACTCTGATTACCCATTAACATAATCTTTTTAAATTTATAGTCAATCCTAAGTCCTAACGCTCAACATAATGAATCACCAGAACCGTTGAAAGGATGGTCAGGACAATGTCTGTGAAAGAAGAAAATCTTCAAAATTTTTCTTTTTTCATTTGCGTAGGAGTGAGGAAATGGTGCAATGGCATTCCTATGGTGTCTTCAAAGTAGAAGCCTGTCATGAGGCATTTCAAAGACACAAGAAAAACAGATGTTGAGCCAATGAGGATGATATTTGGAGGCAGCAGAAAAGCTTATTCAGGGTTTTCCATTGTTGGCATCAGGGTTGAAAGGCATAAAAAAACATATCAAATTATGGGAACATGCAAATTGTCAATAAACTGTTCAACACAAAAGTGGATTTAAAAAAGTGAGATATTTCAGTGTCTGATCCTAGAAAACCATTACAGGATTTGTGCTGCATGACTGATTTCCCAAAATATCCTTTTCACAATCAATACAGTGTGGAGCTGGAGGAATACAGCAGGCCAGGCAGCATCAGAGGAGCAAGACATTTGACGTTTTGGGTCTGGACCCTTCATCAGGACTGGGGAGGGGGAAGGGAACTGGGAAATAAATAGAGGACAGAGGGGTGGGG